CCCCAGGAGCTAGTTAGTAGTTAGTTAGTGGAAAACAGTGGATAGTTAGTAGAAGGCAGTAGTTAGTTAGTGGAAAACAGTGGGTAGTTAGTGGAAGGCAGTAGTTAGTTAGATCGACTGTGTCCTCAAGATACATTTAATGCTGTCTGGATCGACTGTGTTCTCAAGGTAAATTTAATGCTGTCTGGATCGATTGTGTTCTCAAGGTACATTTAATTCTGTTTGGATCGACTGTGTCCTCAAGATACATTTAATGCTGTCTGGATCGACTGTGTTTCAAGATACATTTAATGCTGTCTGGATCGACTGTGTCCTCAAGGTACATTTAATGCTGTCTGGATCGACTGTGTCCTCAAGATACATTTAATGCTGTCTGGATCGACTATGTCCTCAAGGTAAATTTAATGCTGTCTGGATCGACTGTGTCCTCAAGGTAAATTTAATGCTGTCTGGATCGACTGTGTCCTCAAGATACATTTAATGCTGTCTGGATCAACTGTGTCCTCAAGGTACATTTAATGCTGTCTGGATCGACTGTGTTCTTAAAGCAAATTTTATTCTGTCTGGATCAACTGTGTTCTTAAGGCAAGTTTAATTCTGTCTGGATCGACTGTGTCCTCAAGGTAAATTTAATTCTGTTTGGATCGACTGTGTCTTCAAGGTACATTTAATTCTGTCAGGATCGACTGTGTCCTCAAGATACATTTAATTCTGTTTGGATCGACTGTGTCCTCAAGATACATTTAATGCTGTCTGGATCGACTGTGTCCTCAAGATACATTTAATGCTGTCTGGATCGACTGTGTTCTCAAGGTAAATTTAATGCTGTCTGGATCGACTGTGTTCTTAAGGTACATTTAATTCTGTTTGGATCGACTGTGTCCTCAAGGTACATTTAATGCTGTCTGGATCGACTGTGCTGTGGAAAAGAAAGCCCTTAAAGACAATAAAGGTACCATCGATCTCACACCCAAGGACCAGTTCTAGGCCCATCCTGTAACTACAGATCTCACACAACAAAAACAGCCGACTCATATTTGTATTTACGTCTTACATTAAATAGTTACCCAGTAAAGAATAAAACAGGCTGCAAAATGTACCACATCAAAGCACGAGACGGGTTCAGCAGTCATCAGACAAAAATATGTTCAATGAAAGGCCACTATTATTAATGGTGAAGCAATATACACGTGTCGTTTAGCAATCATAAGACACGGATAGAACAATAAGAGACTTTTGTTGAACTATGTTTTAAACACAATTACCGCTTATTTCTGTTCACAAAGTCGTACATTTTTCCCCATAGCGAATTGTGTCTGTTAATAATTAGTGTTAATTACATCTATAAAATAATAATGATAATTAATTCACGCCGTGAAGTGTGAAATAAAGTACTTTGAAGGTCATATATATATATATATATAAATAAAGTACTTTGAAGGTCATATATATAAATAAAGTACTTTGAAGGTCATATATATAAATAAAGTACTTTGAAGGTCATATATATATTTTGCTTTAAGAAAACGTAAAACAGACAGTAGAAGAAGAAACTGGTAACGCAGGAAACTAAATGTGTGTTTATATTGTAAGCTGATGTTTTATCTGTAGTGAGAATTTACCTCGACCATCTTTATCTGACGCTAGTTGCTTAAGAACAAATAGAAGTCGTTTATCGTTACATTGTTAATAGTTCGTTCTCGTTACACTATGCTAGGTATTGGTTTTCGTTACATCGTGTTAGGTATTGGTTCTCGTTACACTGTGTTAGGTATTGGTTCTCGTTACACTATGTTTGGTATGGGTTCTCGTTTCACTGTGTTGAGTATTGGTTCTCGCTACGCTGTGTTAGGTATTGGTTCTCGCTACACTGTGTTAGGTATTGGTTCTCGTTACATCGTGTTAGGTATTGGTTCTCGCTACACTGTGTTAGGTATTGGTTTTCGTTACATCGTGTTAGGTATTGGTTCTCGTTTCACTGTGTCGAGTATTGGTTCTCGCTACACTGTGTTAGGTATTGGTTCTCGTTACACTATGTTTGGTATTGGTTCTCGTTTCACTGTGTTGAGTAGTTTCTCGTTACACTGTGTTAGGTATTGGTTTTCGTTACATCGTGTTAGGTATTGGTTCTCGCTACACTGTGTTAGGTATTGGTTCTCGTTACACTATGTTTGGTATTAGTTCTCGTTTCACTGTGTTGAGTATTGTTTCTCGTTACACTGTGTTTGGTATTGGTTCTCGTTACATCGTGTTAGGTATTGGTTCTCGTTACATCGTGTTAGGTATTGGTTCTTGCTACACTGTGTTAGGTATTGGTTCTCGTTACATTGTGTTAAGTATTGGTTCTCGTTACACTATGCTAGGTATTGGTTCTCGTTACATCGTGTTAGGTATTGGTTCTCGCTTCACTGTGTTAAGTATTGGTTCTCGTTACATCGTGTTAATTATTGGTTCTAACTATACTGTGTTATGTGTTGGTTCTCGTTACATCGTGTTAAGTATTGGTTCTAGCTACACTGTGTTATGTGTTGGTTCTAGTTTCACTGTGTTGAGTATTGTTTCTCGTTACAAAAAATCCTAACTTTCATACCATTGATTTATAACAGCATATTATTACAGTATTCACTATTATGTCACCCAAAGTTTTATATAAACTTTAAGAACTCAATATGTATATAGTTAAAACGTGACATGCGCTGTGTGATGGTAAGGGTGACTTGTAGGAAGGGGTAATGGTGAAAGTAGGGGTGTTTTCTGTTACCCGCTTTCAATACTCAGCTCATAATATCCGTCTACAGTGTTTCACGTGATTAATCAATTGCGGTCATTGGCCGCAGAAGTGTCTAACGGTCCGAAGTT